GTGTCATTCATTTGTTGTTTGGGGGAACTTTTTTTTTTTTTTCCCCATAACCTGAGTATTTATTTGATCATTTATTTACCTGTCTCGAACTTTCCTCTCACTCTTGGTTACTTTGTGAATGATCTGAGCTTTCTGTTCACGTAGATGGTCCTTTATGTACTGTTTCCTTCACTGACTGAAACCTCCCTGCAAGCAAGAATCACATTTTAGGGGCGCCTGGGTGGCTCAGTGGGTTAAGCCTCTACCTTCGGCTCAGGTCATGATCTCAGGGTTCTGGGATCGAGCCCCCCATTGGGCTCTCTCCTCAGCAGGGAGCCCTACTCCCCTGTCTCTCTGCCTACTTGTGATCTCTGTCAAATAAATAAAATCTTAAAAAAAAAAAAAAAGAATCACGTTTTAACTTTGTGATTTCCTCAGACATGGCAAAGACAAGGCCCACAAGTGTTCTCTATTTAATGGCTAAGATAAAAAGTGTCGGAGGGAGAACAGTGGGGAAACTAAGCTGTTTCCAAATATCCCTGTGATCTAGGTCCCAGTCACTATAGAAAAACATGAATTAGATATTCAGGAAGGGTTTTTTCTCGTACATTATCCATGATTTTTTTTTTTAACTTAATGAAAGTTTAAACATCCGAGTCTGAGGTCTAGAGAGGATTCAAAGCTTATAGATTCCAAGCGCTTGGATTAAAATGATCTTTATTTGTATTCATAGATGTTTAAGTATTGAAAAATTATTTCTGCTAGTCAGTTTGTTCTGTCAGAGGAGAGAATATCTCTTCAGTGAGAGATGAGAGATCCTGGCATGTTTTTGGGACCATGAGATTTGTTAGATTATGGAAGGTGTAACTCATACCCATGTAAATAAAATGCCGGACATTTTAGTTGCCTCCAGTTGATGAACAAAACAGAGTTGTGGGGCGCCTGGGTTGCTCAGTCAGTTAAGCATCTCAGGTCATGATCTCAGGGTCCTGGGATCAAGGCCTGCATGGGGCTCCCTGCTCAGTGGAGAGCCTGCTTCTCCACACCCGCTGCCCTCCCGCATGCTCTCACTCTTTCTCTCAAATAAATAAAATCTTAAAAAAAAAAAAAAAAAAAGTTGCTTTGAGCTTCCTGTCATCTGTGGGTGATTGGCAAACTTAGGGTTAATGGGAGTTCTGGGTTTTTTTTTTTTTATGTATAATAGTTTGAGGTATTAAAATAAGAATCACTTCTAATTCTGAAATATTTACATTATTTTTATTGGTGTTAAATATTGACATTGTTTATAGTTTCCTAAAGGAAACAATAAAAAATAGTTCTTAATCTAACAAAGTATCTAATACATGTGTATTGTAGAAAAAATACAAATAAGCAAATAAACATTAGAATCACTTTACCACTCCGGGTAAATTCTATAAATATAACTATTTTGGTGTCTATGCAAAGGCGTGTTATCCCTATCTTAATACGTATGTGTGTCCGTGTTTGTTTTATAGAATAAAATCAAATTTTTTCCTTGAATGTAATTTTTTTCTTGAACATAATTTTTATTGGTTGCATAATACATTTTGCTGATGTATGTGAACCTTAACTTATATCAAGTAATATTTTGTTGATAACCCCCAGAGTTCTATTGTATTTTGTTGGTAAATTGTTTGACTTGCAAGTTTGTGGGCTTTTTCTTTAGAACAATACTATAAATGGTAGTTTATTTTCTAAGTTAACTCCCTGAATTTTAACTGATACCTGTTATATAGCTAAGCTTCCCTGATGGACAACGGGAACTCCAGGGCTTAAACCATAGGATCTGCTCATTGCATTATTTCCTCAGAAAACTCTGTAATCCAGTCAACCCCTGGCACAGTGTCAGACGTTGGGTTGGGTACTCAGCAAAATCTGAATGAATGCGAGCTGGGATTCCTTCTCTACTCAAGTTGTCCTGGCTAGAGCAGCCAAGGACAGATGGTGTTTACTTTTTTGGACTGTGGGAATAGGGTTGTGGATGCAGGGAGGGCACACCGAAGAGCAGGTTTCCCTCATCAGCTGTGTGTTTTGCACTTGTCCATAATTTGGCTTTAGCTTTGATAAAACAAGTTCCCGGAAAAAGAGTCTTCATCACTGGCGAAGTTGAGGGAGTTGAGAGAAGGCAGATACATTGAATAACAAACTTTCCCTAATGGACATTTGTAAAACATACTATCCAAGAGCAATACAATACACATTTCTTCTTAAGTACACAGCATTTATCATGTTCTGGGCCCTAAAACAAGGAATTGAAGGGCCAGTTTGTTGTTTTCTTTGTTTTTTTGAGTTAAGCATGTACCTACCCTATCATTCAGCCCTTCCTCGCCTAGGTATTGAATGAACCAGGAAGAAAGAAAACCTACATACATCCATGCAAGGACTTGTACAAATTGATACATGAATGCTCCTAGCCGTTGTATTTGTAAAAGCCAAAAACTAGAAGTAACCCAAATGTCCCATCAAGTGAATGGAGAAATGAACTGTGGTATATCCATACAACAGGATACTACTCGGCAGTGAAAAGGAGCAGACTATGAATACACCCAACAGTGGATGAATCTCCGAATAGTTACACAAAAGTCAAAAAGCCAGACAAAAAGGATACATTATGGTTCCGTTTGTATAAACCTTTAGAACATACATACCAATTAATCGTGGCAGAAGGCAGATCTGTGATTGCCTGGGAATGCGGATGGTAGAACCAGGGTGGCAGGAAACTTAGAGATGGTAGATCTGTTTACTATCTTGATCGTTGTGGTGGTTTCACAGGTTATGCATAGGTCAAAACTTACCAAGCTGTAAACAAAGAGGACAATTTATTACACAGTTGGCCCGTGATCCATGTGGGGACCAGACGGCACTGATGCACGGTCAGAAATCCACATACGGCTTTTCACTCCCTTAATACTTCTCATAGCCTGCTATGTACTGAAAGCCTTACTGGCAACACACACTTGATAAGCACAGATTTTGTATATTATATGTATTTCATACAATATTCTTACAGTAAAATAAGCTAGAGAAAAAGTTATTAAGAAAATCATAAGGAAGAGAAAGTACACTTATGTTACTTTATTTATTGGGGGGGAAAATCTGCCTTTAAATGGACCCACACGGTTCAAACCTGTGTTCAAAGGTCAACTGCATATCAACAATTGCACAACAAATCTATCTAAAATATGAATGAATAACAAGAAAACAAGGCTTTCATGATTCTGAGGCTGTTTACATCATCATAGTGTTGCTTATACACCTGTACACAGATGGCATCACCTTCTACTATGTGCTGCCATCAATAAAAGGGCCTTCCTTGCTGATTTGTGCTTCTTTACAGCCAGAATCAATGGAAAGCGTTAGGGTTCTAGAAGATCTCCCTTTCACACTGAGGGAGAAAATCTAGAGTTACAGACGGTTAAGAACTGGGCATTGAATTTTTAAGTAGCAACATGATTTCTAATGAGGACCTCAATCATGTTGTATCAGCTGGAGTAGAGAAGAGGAATAGAAAATGTGGGGGTGAAGTCAGACTCCTAGAAACAGCAGAATGGTGGGTACCCGGGGATCAGGATGGAGGAAGTGAGAAGTTGGTCAAAGATTACAAATGTCCAGTTAGAAGTTGAGTACGTTATGGGGATCCAATGCACAGCATTGTGGTTAGAGGTAACAATTCTGTATTCTGTATACTCACAAGTCACTGAGAATAGATGTTAAATGTTCTCACCCCCAAAAAGAAGTGGTTAATCCTAGGACACCGTGGAGGCAGTAGCTAACACCATAGCGGCAATCATTTTGTAATATATAAGCTTAGTGAATAACTACATGGTACATCTTAAACTTAACACATTGTTATATGTCCATTACATTTCAATGTTGGGGTGGGAGGGGTTAGAAAACTTAAAGGCACACTAGCTAAAATAAGTAAAAAGAAAACATGGTGGTGACCATTCATTCGGTGATTTCTCTTTGCCTGTTGGATGAAGACCAGATTCCCGAGCCAGTGACTTGTGGTGTCCCCTGTAGTTCGAACCTCAGCTTTGGTTTGGTTTGGCTTCGCCTTCTCCCAGAATATTCTGAGGTATCTCCCCCTTTACCGGCTTGGTTAATGCTTTTCTTTGCCTCCGAGTCTCTTCCATTTCCTCTCACCTTTTATATCCACGTGGTGAAATTTTACCCATCCTTTAAGTTCCCAGTCAAATGCTAACATGTTTCCTCTGATCTCCCAAATGGAAGTGTGTCATCTGTGTTCTTTTAGTAGACTCTAATCATGTAATTTGTATCTTCGGCCTGATGGGTTATAGGTCAGTGAGGTCTTCCCTCCCTGCTGTTTCGGAACCGAACAGATGAAGAGTTCTACATTTTGGCTACTATTTAGATGTGTTTGGATTCTTTTTTACATGGATTAAAATTATCGGGGTATCTGGCTGGCTCAATAGAACACGTGACTCTTGATCTCAGGGTTGTAAGTCTAAGCCCCATGTTGGGTGTAGAGATGACTTAAAAATAAGATACTTTTGAAAATGACTAATTATTAATGCCGATGACGGAGGCAAGGACAAAACAAGCAGAAAAAAATGAAAATCGTTCTGATTTTATTTTTGAACCGTGTTCTGTGTTCATTTGATTGAGAGCAAAGAAGTGGTAAGTTTACTGTTCTTGTGACCTTTTTTTTTTTTCTTCCTTAAACTGATATTTTAACTATGTGGACCTCCTTCTCTTTACTTCATAATGTCAGAACCAGGTAATGGCTAATTGGGGAAGGAGAAATCAGTTTGTAAATTTAAATCAGCTGGAAGTAATTCACTCTGAGTCATCCCATAGAAATACCCAAGAGTTGGTCTAATGGTGTCTTAAGATGAGAGTGTTCATTGGGTTATGGAAAGAACATGAATTACATAGGGTTTGTGAAATATATGAAGACTTGTGTTTTTGAGGTGACAAGTGAGAGCTATTCCTCAGGTTGTACAGTCTTGTGATCACGTCTCTTATTTATTTTCCAGGTCCGGACCCTATTTGTCAGCGGTCTCCCTCTGGATATCAAACCTCGGGAGCTCTATCTGCTCTTCAGACCATTTAAGGTACCTTTTCTCTTTCAGAAATTAATAAAAGGAGACAAAAAGTGTGTGAATAAATAAGCTATAAAGGGCTTTTTATATTTTTTATATATTTATAAATTTATAAATTAAATTTCTATTTATACATTTATAAATAAGCAAAAAGGGGGCTTTTTGCAGGAGGAAATATGTTTGAGAAAGCATCTTACAAAGTGACCCCCCCTTTTTTTAAAGTTTAGTTAGAAAAGAGATTTAACAACTCAGTTCAGGTGTACAGTCTCAGAAAAGTCTGAAATTGCCTTTTGTCCTTCCCAATAGCTGATCTAGAAAAGTCTCTTTGCTTCCTAGTAATGGGGACATGTGTCTGGCTCTGTTTTGAACAGTTTTAGTGTCCTCCCTGTTTATCATTTTCCGATGGGAGTGTTCTTCTGAGTACAGCTCACCAAAAACACTATCGATTCCTGTTATTTATAATATTCCCAGTAAAATAACATAAGTCAAGGCCTGTTCTGCAAGGTTTCTTATTAGTTGAAATAGTGCTAGTACTATTCTTTGAAGACTAGTAAGTTGATTACATTTTGATAAACCAGATTGAGAACCTGACCACCATTATTTTTTCTGTAGGAAGAATGTCCTAAATTTCAAACAAAGTAAAATGAACTTTTAAGGAATTACTTGTTATGCTGGTACCTAGTATAGTATTTTAATTCAGTTGCCTGTCCATGGGGACTACGGAGATACAGTCACTTGAGAGATAGTTAATGTTGCTAGAAAACTTAACAGGAAATTGGACAAAAGCTGAAATAACCATGCTGTCAGGAGAAACCTTGAAGGCCAACCTATGGAGAATGAGAGAAAACTGGGACTGGGAGGATTGTGGGCTGGAGGCCTCGGCCCTCAAGGGGAACACCCGGAAGTCATGATAAATTACGGGCTTGTGTCTGGTCCCTGAGAACATGGTAGCAGCAGTGCCTGGCCAGGGGCCCCCTTAGGATTAGGTGGCAGACCATCCTGATTAATGATTAAAGCTCCATCCTGTTGAAGCAGGACCCTAGCCACAGAGGCAAGACAGGTTGAGGGACAGGATCTTAGCCTTTAAGGGGAGAGCGATGTGACCACTGGAAACAGCTGGGTAGGAGAGGCAGACAGGTGGGAGGGGCAGCCAGGTTAAAGCCAGCAAAGCTAAGAGTCTAACTTAGGTGCCGGGAAGGTAATAATGTAATAATAGACCTACCTCTGTCCCAGCACCCATCCTCTTTCTGTAGCAGTGATGACAGTACAGTGGGAAATAGAAGGGTTAGACGTGAGGACAGCCGCAAGGAAGTGGGAAAGAAAGAGAAGACGCTGGGGATGGGGTTTGGCTTCGTAGAATTTCCTGAGTATCTTCTGCAGGGTTCCCATTTTTACTATTTGTCCCTTTCGTAGGATGAGGACTTTTCTAAGATTTTATTTATTTGACAGAGAGAGAGAGAGAGAGAGAGAGAGAGAGAGAGAGAGAATACAACCGAGGGGGATGATGGGAGAGCGAGAAGCAGGCTTCCCACTGATTAGGGAGCAGGATGCAGGGCTCGATCCCAGGACCCTGGGATCATGACCTGAGCCAAAGGCAGATACTTAGGATTGAGCCACCCAGGCAGATGGGGACTTTTTGAAGCGAGTTGATCTTATTAATGGACAAAATACTGGAGATTTAGCCAGCAAGCCCCTCATAAGAATTATTCCATTTAATTTTTATCATAACCCTTTAAAGGGGGTTGGCCTCCATTCTTCCAATGAGGAAAATGAAACTTAGAGCAACTGAATAAATTTTGCTCAAGGTCACACTTCATAAATGGCAGGGCTAGGATTCAAACCCAAGCAGTCTGACTGCCGTCCGTGCTAAAGTAGTCTGCGAGAGAGCACAATTCATTGCCACCAGTGGTGGTGTGCTTGAGTGAAATATCCATTTGTCCTTTGCCTCTGAGGCCTTCAGGGTGTTTAAACCTCCAGGTTTTTTGGAGAGAAAGCACCTTGAGAAAGGAAGAGACAGGGCTGTGAATCATGACCTCTCTGGCCAGAAGAGCTCAAGGTCTTTGAGGTAAAATGTTTACAGTAGCTAATTGGTAACATAGTTCTCTGCTGGGAAGATAGGAGGATGAATCAATCCCAACATCCTGCCCAGAAACCCCAACGCAAGAGTCAGGACCCTGGTACATTCCTAACAACCCTCTTTTAATTAAAGTCCCCGGAGGTTGACCCCAGTCTGCAAATCTGTCTTGGCACTGATCTGTGCAGTGGTCAGTCATGTCAAGTGGTGTTTTTCCCCTTGTGTCATCCATCAGTGCAAGCCACCAGCCATTGATTATTTTCAGAAATAAACACACTTTGTTATCCTTCTCCTGAGGAGCCAGGAGGGGTGAAGGGAGGGAGTGCAAAGGGAGGGTTTCTGTCCTCCTTGAGGATGGGCTGGAGTAAGAGCCCTACAGGGGATTTTCGTAATGTCCCAGTCAGAATACCAGCATGAAAACTAGCTGCTTCAGGAAGTAAGCAAAATAACTCAGAAGAATTTAGTGTCGCTACCTGTGTAACTTTTCCCGGCAGTTTTGAAATTTCAAGTAATAAGTTCTACGTAGGACATTCTTAATGTTTTAATGTTATTTTATAGCAAACACATGACCAAGTCCTCACATACTTATCTTCCTGTCTTATTAAATTTACTCCCTTCACTATTCTAATTCTGTAAAATGAGAAAGATCTGTTGACAGAAGAACCTGTTTTTCTACCATTGTACAATTTCATGGAAAAAAGGAAAACAAACCTAGATACATGTGCATAAATTTCAAGGTATGATTTGTTTTAGGCCTTAAAGGTGGAAGGACCAGCACGTATGTGCTTATGTGTGTAAAATCTGCCTTCTCAGTTACTTTGAGGCATTTGTAAGAAGAGTTCGTCAGTAGTCATAATGGACTCACTTTTACTTGAGCAAGATGTTATTACAGTTGGGTTTTTTTTTTCCTAGTAATTTTGCAAGATGCTATTACAGTTGATTTTTTTTTTTTCCTAGTAATTTTTTTTCGTCTAATTTTGGTTCTTAATTTTCAGGGCTACGAGGGTTCTCTTATAAAGCTCACATCTAAGCAGGTAAGAATTTCAAACTTGCGTATAAATGATCACTTCCACAATAAATTTGAATTGATCTTCTTCTAGAAAGTTACTGGGTCTCAGCATTCTCCTTTATAATTCTCGATTTAATTTTTGTTGTTGATTTAAAATTCAGTGTGAGATTAGTTAGGAAATAGGACAGGAAAATTATTTACAATTCTTTTGTCTCCAGCTGGGATGTCTGGGACCATCCATGAGGAAGGCAGACAGCATGATTATATTGGGACTGGTCCGTATATTGAAAAGAAATCATCCAAACCCACTTTTATTCCCGATCCTTCCTTTTTTTAAAAAATAAGGTCAAACAGGCAAGCGTTCACAGTGCGTGTAAGTATCTGTTGGTGGAGAATCATGCTGTGTTTCAAACTTGTAATAACCACAGGCAGAGTCCCAAGTCTAGGGTAGAGCACAGAAGGGGCAGGATGAAGAGTGGTAGTCAGTGACACTGATAGTTTCTATAGACTGCTTGAAATATTTGGCTTTAGGCTTTTTTACCCCCAAAATGCTGAATACCCAGCGTGCTCACCTCTCAGTCGCTTTTCATCTCTCGGTAAGGTATTCTCTGATTTGTCAGGAATAAGCTATGTTCTGAGCATCTTTCTGGACTGAAAGATTGAGTCCAAAGGGATTATCACCCCTCTCTGTTGAGTTGGAACAATTTGGTTTACACACCTAGTTAAACACAAGACGTTTTAAAGGTATCCCTTGGGATTTGAGCTGGAAATGTGCATTTTATAGTTCTGATCGTGCGGTGAGCGCGTACAGGGCTTGTGTCATTGTATCATCATATTCCTTGCACTTACAGTGTACCGAAAGGTGATTTGGTTCTCTTTCCATTTTAAAAGATGAAGAAACTGAGGTACAGTGAATTTGATTTAGGAAAGTAGAGCCTCTCGACCCAAGTTTTCCTCTATTCTCTTGTCCACTGCTGCTCACTTTCCAATCCCTTCTAGAATTTTTTTTTTTTTTTTTAATGATTCTCTAAATCCCCAGCTGTGCCCCTGAAGAACCACCCTCACAATCCTTTTGATTCATGTTAGAAATTTGGCTAAGCCACTGCGTCATGATTCTTTTGAACTGGCTTTCTTATTTCTACCCATTGCCTGTGGTCATTTCTTTATCTTAGCTCTTTGGTTTGACATCACCTTTGACCCAGAAAAATAGATATCTCCTGATTTGCTTTTTGTTCATATTTTTTTTTCTTTCCTCAGCCCGTAGGTTTTGTCAGTTTTGACAGTCGCTCAGAAGCAGAAGCTGCAAAGAATGCTTTGAATGTAAGTAGTAATGATGTCATCATTGGTGTTTCCTTGTGAGGTGGTGGTGGGAGGCAGTAGAAGCTCTTTGGACAGGAAATCACATGGAGGGAATGTGACTGCTCATTCTGATAGGAGGGATTCATCCATTTAATTAGCCATCTGAAGAGATTTTTTCCTTGAATCGTGGTCCGATGTGCAAACTACTGAATAATGCTTTGCTCTTCTCCAGCTTTTACTGTAATGCTCAGAATACCTGCCAATGTCTTACTCTAATTGAGCTTGGTCACCGCCCGTGGTAATGTGCAGGTTGGTTTAGCCATTGTCATACTCTCAGAGATTAAACCTAACCCAAGAGTGGACGAAAACTTGGCTTTCCTTCTCATATGAGGTTTCCATTTTAGCTGTGTGGGTTTGTGTGTGTGTGTGTGTGTGTGTGTGTTGTTGTTTGGTGGATTTTTTTTGTCTTGTTTTTTTTAAGGTTATAGTCCTTCCTCTCACTGTTTTCCCCAAAGACATTCTGCATTGTGCTGTGGCAAATGGTTGTCAGTTGAGTTGAGTGGAGGTACCTGTTTTGGTTTGTAGGCGTCTCGTCTGCCATATGTTTTGAAGCTTTTGCCAGCTTCATTTTAGAAAATATTTTTCCACTTTAGTGTGCTGAAAACCAAAACAATTTAAGGGGAACCCAGCTGAGAGAAGGTGAAAGGAAGCAGAATCTGAGTTCCAGATGCTGAGGGCTGCTCCTGAGGTGAAGGGAGTTGGAGGGAAGAAGTCTGGCTCCCTCCTGCTCCAGGCCGTCGGCCTAAGTGACCATGAAAGGGGTCGATGAAGGCGGCCAAAAGGGTTTAGGGTGCTTCTTAAAAGGCAAGTGACCACTTGACTGGTTGCCATCTGAGGGTCATAGTGTAGGCCCTTGTGTTGCTATGGAATCTACAGGTGCCCTCCCAACTGCTCCTTTGAGCCCCTGGATGCTAGAGCAGCCTGTGCTGAGGGAGGGCTGTGGGAGAGACATGGTATCCTGGAGAGTTGGAGGCTGCAGGGAAAGACCTCCAGAGGGGTCCGTTTCCTCAGCATAATGGTGTCATTGTGACACAATCTTGAAAGCTTTTCAGGCTTTGAAAAAAACCACACACACTCTCAGAAGACATGGTTTGCTTCTTACTGTTGGTTTTTCATGATCATCTTTGGAATCCAGGAACTCCGAAGAGCTCAGGATTTTCCTGGATTTGGGCGAATAACCTTCTGGTCAGAGAAACTGCTGCCTTAACCTGTTTGTCTTCCGCAGAACAAAATACAAACCAGTTGTTTATCGTGTACCAGTGGTACACAGTGAAACACGGTGTATGATTGAATATTTTGATATAAAAGTTATTTTGATTTTTATCATTACATAGATGGAGCCAGAATTTTCTCAGTATAACCAAATTTTAAGCTTCTCAATAAAACTAGGCTTTTATTTAGATCCTGGTATTCTTTCATTCTTAACCAGGTAGCACGTTTCTAACTGCAGAACTATTCTGGGTCCTTGAAAGTTATGTGAGGTGAAGTTTTCACCATGTTGTTTTCATTGTTCTTCTAAAGGAAGTAACAGCAGTTGAAGGTTGTTTACAGAATTGGCTCTCTGCGGCCTGCCTTGACTGTCTGAGGAGCACTAGGCTTTTATAGTGACTTCTGTCCTCTGACGAAGGCAACTTTCCCTTACGGGCTAGAGTTTGTGTTTTTGTTTGATGGAAGCTTGTTTTCAAACTGCCTAAATGGTCATAAACTGTGTTTCCTTGCCTCAGTAAGCAGGAGTATAGCAAACAATTTCAATTTTTCTTGGTGCACAAGGGTTATATCCATTCCAAGAATCAGGTTTGGAGCCCTCCTGTACCATAGCTGTGGAGGTGAGGTGTTCAAGTCCATCCTCAGGCCAACCAGCCCCAGGTCCTTGTGCTTGCGTGTCCTGACATCTGGTTTTAGGTTGGCTCTTCCTCCTTTTTCATTGACAGTGAGCTTTCCTTTAGCAGCTTCTTTTCCCTTAGTCATTAATGTTCTTTTGTTGCTAGTGTATTAATAACTTGGGAAGAACTCCAAGCGAAACTGTTCAAATTCTGTAGATCTAAGGGTGACTTACTATTTGTGAATTACTGAACCTGAGCTCTCTTCTTCTCAGAGGCTGACTCGTGAGTGTAGGCATTTACTGAGCTCATGCTTGATTTCTTGACATATTTAACTTTTATTATATATAAGGTATTAGAGGCCTTTGTACCTTAGAAACCATCCTCTTGTTCTGGGAACGGAGACCTCGAAAGGATGGATGGCTCGGTCAGGAAGCTTAGGTTTAAAGCTACAACTAGAAGGAAGCCTTCTGTATCTTCGTCCTGTCTGCTTTGTTCAACATCTTGCTGCTTGCTTGGTCCATGGAATGCTGCTGCATTTTTCCTGATGGCAGTGATAGACTATTTAACGTACATCGTCCAGGACAAATGGCCATGATAAAGTTTGGCCTGTGTGACAGTGGGGCAGGGTTTCTTTTCTCTGCAGAGAAAATGAGCCCGTTCGGGATAATTTACTTAATCACGAGGCTGACAGCTTTTCTCTATGGCCCAACATATTATGCTCTTTTCAGGTCATCTTTCTAATTGGTGAATTAAAAAACATACGAGGCTCATAGCCATTACAAAATTTATTCCCCTCATGTCATTTGTTCAGCCTTCTCTTAAAAGCATTTCCTTACACTCCTTTGGGGGAAAGTTCCATGTTGTCATGTTTTGTTTCATTCCACTATTGAGAAACTAAAGCCTCAGTCCAGTAAGGAACTCTATCTAGAACAGTTCATGGTGTCACGAACCACTTCTCTGCACTTCCTTCCCTCTCTTGGTTACTGTTTGGTTCAGTTATTAGTATTAATAATTAGTCTTCTCCCAAATGCCTGATTTTTTTTTTTAATCTATTTTCTTCTATCTTTGGATTATGCGTCAATTTGATAATTTTATGGAAAAACATGCTCAGATTGAATTAAGTGGTAACACTGAACTTTTATCAGGAGGTTACACAAATCTTCTAAAGTAAATATAGTATATTTTGTTTTTACAGCAAAAACTCCCAAATTAAGCTAAAAATAACCAAAACCCAGACGTCCCTTCAGGTTATCTATGGTCCCATTAATCCACATGATTAGAAACCCCATTCATTCTTGAACCTGACAACAAAGTATCTGACCTACCCTTCACCCTTCCTACACGTTTGTAATTTCCATACGGCAGTTTTCTATTTCCCATGAAGGTGGTGTTAATATTCCAAAGTATCCAGCTATTTTTAGGATTTGTTTGTAATTTTGGAGTATAAATCAATATGGTGAGTGAGATTGAGAGTTAGACAGCTATAGTAAAATTTGTGGAAATTAAAAAAAAAAAATAGAGTAGGCATACAGGTGAAAACCCTGAGCAGAAGTTGGAATAAGCCATCCCTGGCTTCCTGCCCACTGCCAAGACCCCAGTATTGCCCCGTTGCCTAGTTAAAATCTTGTTTTAAGAAATAAGAGTGATTTGTAGTTAATACTTCAGATCAACAGGCTTGTCGTGGTCCTTGCTTGTGTAAGTTTCCGTCACAGGCGTTGTCTTACACTGGTGTTTGGGAATCATTCACCTAAAGTACAGTTGACCCTTTAACTTCACAGGGATCAAGGGTGCAAACCACTTCCTGAGTAAAAACAACACACACACACACCCCTTTTGTTTCTCCCAAAACTTAATAGCTTACTGTTGACCAGAAGCTTTATTGATACCATAGTCAAGTCACATATTCTGTGATATATATATTGTATTTTGTATTTAAATAGTTGTTATTGAGCTAGGTTTTATCATAGATTCTTGTAAATTATTGTATCAGAATTAGAGAAGTCTGATGTCATCAAACAATGGACATCACTGCAAGTTGCTTTCACAACTAAACATTGCCTGGATGAGCATAGTAATTGCATTACTCTCAGATTTTAGACTATTTGATATAAATGATTCCAATTATCATTGCAACCCCTAGTCTGTTGGATTCTTTTCTAAAAGTTTGAGTTACAACTCCTATAACATAAAACCCATTTGAAGTGTGCAATTCAGTGGTTTGGTATGTTATATATTATAAAAGTTTGCCATTTTAATGATTATTTAATTGCACAATTCATTGGCATCCATTACATTCACTGTGTTGTGCAACCATCACTGCTCCATATTTCCAAAAAAATTTTCATCATCCCAAACAAACTCTGTAACCTTGTATGTGGGTTTGATCCTCCCATGTTACGAAGTTTATGATAGATCTGGGTCCAGTGTTTACGCTGAGCCTAAAGAGTGGCAGTTGGGGGGTACCTGGGTGGCTCAGTGGGTTAAAACCTCTGCCTTCGGCTCAGGTCGTGATCCCAGGGTCCTGGGATCGAGCCCCGCATCGGGCTCTCTGCTCAGTGGGGAGCCTGCTTCCTCCTCTCTCTTTTATTTATCCATTCATCTGTTGATGGACACTTGGGGTTATTTCCACCTTTTTGCTCTTGTGAGTAAAGCTCC